TTGCTCCGCTTTATTTCCTTCTGTATGGCCTTGCTGCTCACCAAGAGATGTTTCGTTTGTCTGTGGGTGTGGCTGAGACTCCACCTGGTTTTCTTTCTTTTCAGCTGCAGCAAGTGCGTCGTCGAGTTTCTTCAGGAGATTCTCCACTTCTTCAGCATGAAGTTTCGCACTGTTGATAGCATCGTTTGCAGCATATACCGCTGTGTCGACTTCGTTAGCTGCGTTCTCTGCTGCCGCAAAAACGTCTGGATCATGTTCTGCAACAAGATAGGCTGCGGTTTCAGCTGCAGTTTTACTGCCTGTAGTTTTGTCGCGCACTTCTTCTGCTTTCTTTGAAGCCTTCACTGCATTTTCAATGAGTTCATGACCTCTACTCTTCGTTTTGTTCACCTCGTCTGGGTCAGCAGCAATTAGTTTGAGTTTCTTCCCAATGTCGAGAGCAAATCGTTGAGCTTCATTCGCGGCCTCTCGAGCAGCGTTAGTGGCTTCCTCGCACTCCTTTTTTAGTCTCAAAGTCTCCCCAATCTTATCTCGTGCATCCTTAACAAATATTGAGACCCCTGAAGCAGCATGAGTCACACCCACACAGCAGAGCACAATGGCCAACAAACACAACACACGGCACGACAACATGGACATTCTTGTTATTAATATCACTGAGGATCACTGAAATCTGAGCATGTGTGTATAAAGATAGAGAGAGAGAGAGAGAGAGAGAGAAAAAGAAAATAAAAGCACTAGTACACCGCTATTATTGCACACATATATAAGCAGTCAAGTATGAGCGTAAATAAATTAGAAAAATTAGGGAAAAATAACCATTATTCAAACAAAATAAAGTTCCATCCAATCCCAAATAAAAATGAAAAGATTATAAACGAATTGAATATCATTTGGTAACATTGCAGAGATAGCCACACACACAGAGAGAAGCAATAATAATAACGGATAATGTATAAATCTCTCTGTGTGTTGGTTTCTCCCTGTCCCATTACAATATGTAGTGTCCCCAGAGGAACAAGAAAATCATATTTTACCCCGCTCAGAAATAATGTGAAAGCAAATAAAAAAGAAAAGAGATATCATTTACCAGAATCACACAATTGCAGAGTGAGACACACCACAAGGTGCACAGCAATACTCTGCTTACAAGTATCAAAAATGAAAAGAGATTAAGTATTTCCACACAAATTGATGCACCCTAGTCCAGTGGGTGTCATCAGGATTAATTTTCTCGGTGCTCAGTGTACTGAACACAGTAGCAATTATATTATTATTAATAGTAGTAAACAAGTGATTACCAACACTCTCTTGAGGGACCCCATCACAGTGCTTAACACACGGCCATGCAGCCCAGCACAGAGAGAAGCAGCAGCAGCAGNTGTGTTTGCTCCGCTTTATTTCCTTCTGTATGGCCTTGCTGTCCACCAAGAGATGTTTCCTTTGTCTGTGGGTGCTGCTGAGAGTCCAACTGTTCTTCCTTCTTCTTGGCAGCTGCAGCAACGACTGCGGCGTCGAGTTTCTTCAGGACATCCTTCACTTCTTCAGCATGAGTTCTCGCAGCGTCGATATGTCCTTCAGCGTCAAGTACCGCGTTTTGNCCACACAATTGCAGAGTGAGACACACCACAAGGTGCACAGCAATACTCTGCTTACAAGTATAAAAATGAAAAGAGATTAGGTATTTCCACACAAATTGATGCACCCTAGCCCAGTGGGTGTCATCGGAATTAATTTTCTCGGTGCTCAGTGTACTGAACACAGTAGCAATTATATTATTATTATTAATAGTAAACAAGTGATTACCAACACTCTTTGGATGGACTCCACCACAGTGCTCAGCACACGGTCATGCAGCCCAGCACAGAGAGAAGCAGCAGCAGCAGGAATGGAACACGCAGTAACGCAGGGCTGCTGCTGCCGTCATTTAATGCCATACCACTGTTATTCGCTGCACCATTGAGTAAGGCATCGAGATTATCTCCGTGGATATTAATAGTAACAGTAGAACGGTAATGCTGTTTTTGTTTCTCTTTTTGTTTCTCTTGTGTTTGCTGCTGAGACTCCACCTGTTTTTCTTTCTTTTCAGCTGCAGCAACAACTGCGGCGTCAAGTTTCTTCAGGACATCCTCCACACGTTTAGCAGCACCTTCCGCATCGTCAGCACTTTGTCCAGCAGCACGTACCGCGCTTTCTGCATGTTCAGCTGCTTTCTCTACCTCTACAATTTCTTCTGGTTCTGGATCAGTTTCTCCTGCGCTTAGACGAGCAAGGCTGGCTTTATTTTCAGTTTCAATTTTACTGTCTGTCGTTCTATTGGCCACTTTTCGTGCCTCAGCTGCAGCCTTCATTGCCTTATCAATGAGTTCATGGCCTTCACTCTTCCTTTTCTCCACCTTGTCTGGGTCAGCAGCAATTGTTTCGACTCCACTCTCAGTGGCAACAACAAATTGTTGAGCTTTATCCGCGGCCTCTCGAGCAGCGTTGGCCGCGTTCTCACACTCCGCCTTCAGCTTTAAAGTCTCCTTGGCCTTCTCTTGTGCTTCCTTAACATATTGTAAAGCACCTGGTGGAACAGCAGCATGAGCCACACCCACACAGCAGAGCACAATGGCCAACAAACACAACACACGGCACGACAACATGGACATTCTTGTTATTAATATCACTGAGGATCACTGAAATCTGAGCATGTGTGTATAAAGAGAGAGAAGAAAGAGAAAAAGAAAACAGAAAAACATTAATACACCGCATACACACATAAACACATGGAATCAAACAATAATGTAAAGGAACTATACACATTAGTGGAAAACACCCATTATTCAAACAAAATGTAGTCCCATAAAATCCCAAATAAAAAAGAAAAGATTATAAACGAATTGAATATCATTTGGTAACATTGCAGAGATAGCCACACAAACAGAGATAAACAATAACGAATAATGTATAAATCTCTCTTTGTGTTGGTTTCTCCCTGTCCCCATTACAATTTGCAATGTCCCATAGGAACAAGCAAATTATATGTTACCCCGCTCAGAAATAATGTGAAAGCAAATAAAAAAAGAAAAGAGATATCATTTACCAGAACCACACAATTGCAGAGTGAGACACACCACAAGGTGCACAGCAATACTCTGCTTACAAGTATAAAAATGAAAAGAGATTAGATATTTCCACACAAA